CCAGGAAAACGTAAAATCCGATGTTAAATTCAAGTTAAGCGAAAACCTATTCTTAGACCTTCTCAAAAAGTCATGCTTGGGTGGGTATTTTAGCTACGCTTAGTAGGAGGCTACTTCATTCCAGCCGTCCCGATTCCACCTGCCAAATTTGATCCTGCTAACTCCAGAACTGTGGGAGGAGTTAGCTGGGCATACATACATACACACAAAGCTACAAGCTAAATTAATGGAGGAAGCTTATGAATTTATGCACGACAAATATGCTGATAACAGGCTAATGACATTGGTTTGGTGCGGAAGGAAATAGAATATAAATTTATAACTCGAAGGTTCTTCTTATTTTTTGTTATAATTTACCACTAATATTAAGGGAATCTATAGGTTCTAAACTTTCCATAGGTATAAGCTCTTCCCAAAACTCATTCAGAATTATCATGCTATCATGAAGCCAACGTGAATAATTTACATTTGTGTGAATCTGCGTAATTAATTTTCCACTGTAAAGACCAAGCTTTTTCGTATTTTAAGAAATAGCTAAATGCATGATCTACTATTTATCGGCTTAGGAATAACACATTTTTATGTTGGAAAAATGTTGAATATTATGAAAAACATTTAATATTTAATTAATGGGAATTAATTAAAGGTACGTAGTGAAAGGTACTTGGTGACTTTCGAGTATTGCATTAGAGAACACCTGTATTGACAACATGTAGGTTACGATAAGCTTTATATGGAATAGTTAGTGTCAGTAATATTAACAAGTAAATAATTCTGTTGCTTTTAGCAAGTCTTTCCAAAGTGACATACCAATGGAGCATGAAAGAAAAGCGTTAATAAGGAAAAAAATTACCAACCAAATATACAAAACGTTAGCCACAATTCAGTGCGTTGTATTATAATTTCATAAACGCTTTTGTTTGTTTGTTGATAAGCAAAGCTACACAATGGAATATCTGTGCTCTATCCATTGCGAGTATCTAAGCCCTATTCTTAGCGTTATAAACCCTCATGAAGAATTACAGCTGAGACACCGAGGGGTTTTATAAACGCGCATAAAATGGGTTTTATTATATTATTTTTTCATAAACGGTTTACCTCAGTCATCTCAAACTATTATTATATATTTGCTTAAAAACAAATAGACGTATGGGACACTCAAATTGCATGACCAGGTGGTTAGGGAGCTCGACTCGCAATCTGTGGGTCATGGGTTCGAATCCCCATCCCGCCCTTTCAGTCATGGGGACGTTATAATATTACGGTGACTCTCACTATTCACTTTTAAAATAGCTGGCGGTGATGACTAGTTGTCTTCCCTGTAATCTTTCACTGCTAAATTAGGGACGGCTAACGCAGACAGTCCTCGTATAGGTTTGCGTGAAATTCAGAACAAACAAACTAAGCACTTAAAATGTGAAAGTTATCCCAGAACTATATAAATCAATAAAAGATACTGACTGTCTTGTAAACAAATATGTCAAACCCATACACGCAAGAATAACTCGTTGATTATACAGTAAATCAAATTCAATAAATTGGGCTAACCTTTTGTGCGCAATCATAATACACAATTAATGTACAACAGCTATCACTGAAGACTTCCAATGATCTCCACTATCTAATCACATGCAAGAACTTTATATCTATGCATCGCGTTATGAAGTTATGTGAATAACGTCATTAGGAACATCAGCTGCCTAAGTTTTGAATTAGTTATTTTTTAGTTTTCACGTCTATGTACTACAGGAGTAATATTTGATATAATAACGAGCTCCACCTTTCCTGACGCTTTAAATATCGTCTTCACTATATCTTTCTTTCCTTTTTTTTTTTTTTGTTGCGACACGATGATTTAGTAGGAGTAATGCGGCTTAGACACAGCAATAACGGTATTTCTGTATCTCTAATGCTTAAATTACTCTTGAAATAACGGTATCTCCAATGAATAATATCACTCCCGAAAGGAAAACTAACAAAGCATGTTATATGCGCTTATATGCCTTGTATTGTTTTAGTAAAAGAATGATTCATAATTTCGATAAAAGTTGTCAGTATTATGTAAGCGGAAGTTATTTTTGCAATCATATATTTTACAGTAATTTCAACAAAAATTCAATGAGGTTATTGTTAGATTGTTAGAATAATTTAGCGAACGTTTGTCAAGATTTCAAAGAAATTGTACATGAGAAATGACAAATATTAAATGTGTAAGACTGTTTAATTCGCATTGCTAGCTCAGATTTTCTTCCATTTTGTCAAAAAAGTTTTACCGCTGTTATGTATTCGGGCAAAAAAAAAATATGTATTTAGGTAAAACTGAGTTAACTTTATAGCAATGGGAGAGGTTCATTTAATAACAGGAGATTCGATCAAGATCATCTTCGAAGTAAATCTATATATCTGAGTAACAGAGTTGTGATAATGATTGAAATAAAGAGACTGGACACAAAGTGAAACATGAAATGAGCAATATTTATTAAAACAGACTTAAAATCAGTGAGAGCACTTGCTTGATTGACCAAGACGATGAGCGTTTTTACTGGATCTCCCATCTTCAATTGATCAGGCTAAACCCAGCATTCCTACCATACACGAAACGTCGTATTTATCCAGAGCAGCTATACCTCAACACGTGATTAGTCATTCTCATTCAAACACAAGTGAAGCCGTAACCTCGAGATATCACCTGAACCACCATTGGCACCATCCTTCCACAACATTCAGGGTTGCAGCAATAACCCCACGGGAGGACGGGTACTTTACCTACTCGTAAAGAACAAAGCCAGCTAAAGCGAGATGAATTTAATAGCTTTCTCGACCATGTGTTATGTGAAACATCCAAATATACAGAAGAAATGATAAGTTCAAAATAAGTGCTTCAATAAGAGAATTATTTATAAAATAAAATAATAATCCAGAACTATGGATTGCAACTAGACATTAATAATAGTAATGATGATTAATCTATTCATAATTATTTCATTTCTTACCATATAACCCAAAGCATTACTGCTAGACTAAATATTATTAGTTTTGTTATATGTGGCACAGAGGCATGTGTGCGGACTTACAATGCTAGAAACCGAGTTTCGATACCCATGGTGGGCAGAGCACAGAAATTCCATTGTGTAGCTGTGTGCTTAAATTAACAAAAACAAATTATTTTCGTTCTGAGTAGGGCGTTAATAGAAAACGTTAGAACTTGTTTTCGTGGCATGAATTTGAATGAATCTTATTCACATATTAACCACAATTTCCCAAGTCTTTTAAATGTGATAAACCAAGAAATATGGTTCATACTGTTCATCAAACATTGGTTAACTATACAAGAGAATAAGAGCTGGTGTAGATTCACTAAACACAAAAAGAATTTAAATGAAACATCTGAGACTTTCACTGTGTTAGAATATCCTATATCTATCTGTCTATGAAAATAACATACAAATAAACTCGCTAACGCAAGTCTTACACTATTGTATTTTTACCAAACTAGTGATGTTAAAGTTCATACAAGACTGTGTCGAATAGAATAAGCTCCGAATTAAAAACCACAAGTCAGCGACCGACCGTTTACAGACCGGTAAAACCTCATGTAAACGGATCACGCAGCGAGCTCCGTAAAGAGCAAGCTTAAATGTTTTTATCTTAAATATGCTCTAGAATCCATTGATGTACAAAAAATCTTAAGCGCTTTCAACCGGTTTACTTCCAAGAAAGCGGGGTTATGACATTTTGAAGGTGTGCGAGAGCTATAGCCATAAGAATTTATTTCAGACAATGACTCATACTACAAAATCGTCAACTGTTTTGTAATTTTGCACAGACACGTAGCTCTAGTTTTCTGAACTAATTGTTATATGTTTTACACAGGCACGTAGCTCTAGTTTTCTGAACTAATTGTTCTATGTTTTACACAGACACGTAGCTCTAGTTTTCTGAACTAATTGTTCTATGTTTTACACAGACACGTAGCTTTAGTTTTCTGAACTAATTGTTCTATGTTTTACACAAACACGTAGCTCTAGTTTTCTGAACTAATTGTTATATGTTTTACACAGACACGTAGCTCTAGTTTTATGAACTAATTGTTCTATGTTTTACACAGACACGTAGCTCTAGTTTTCTGAACTAATTGTTATATGTTTTACACAGACACATAGCTCTAGTTTTCTGAACTAATTGTTCTGTTTTACACAGACACGTTCATTCTTAATTTTTCATAAGTTAGATTAAAATTTACTTTTCTATATAATGTAGTACACAAACATTTGATCAAATATAAACCCTCTTCACTTCTTTTTATCCTCTTTTATCCAATTTCTTTGGCCTTCATGTGTAATTCAGTTAATGGAGGTATCCTGCTAGATCACGAGTTAAACATTTAGAAGATGCATTTAACATCATTAACTCTTATTTATCAAGTTATAACCTCTTCAGAAAACCTAATTAAAAAATGATATAGATAGCTAGATAAAATGAAAGGTACACGAAGCTACGCACATATAATGAAATCCTTAAGTGACTTATTAAGTAAAAGAAGACATTTTTCAGTAGTATCAAGTGTAGAACCATGGTACCCCTTTTTATAATTTTCTCTGAACGATAACGAGAAAATAACAATATATAAAATAATATACGTACTCGTACATGAATTTGTTTGTGACTTTAAAGAGGTTACGCGATTAATTCAAAACTAGTCTTTACATATCTATTTTATGGTCTTCATGTGCTCTAGAAGAAACAACATCGGTAGCAACAGGCGTGATTGAACGAATAAATAATGTATTCTCTTTTTTGCTTTCTGTCGAGGTACGTATAGCAAATACTACTGCACATTAAACATGTCCTTCAAACCCCCGGGAAATTACGTGCACGAGATAGATGAGAATAATTAAATCTATTGTCGGGAAGAAAGAACACCTACCTGCTCTAATATCACATCCGTGACGTACTGTATTACCGTTATACATAAACAAATGTAAAAGGTTAACTTAAAGGCGCATCTGCCGATAGTCTCGCGAGTTTAATATCCCCGTACGAGGTGACTTTTACCCTCTGTTTCCATCCACGTGACGAGAGGCATATTCTGTGTACCATGGAGGTTCTTTGATGACACCCTTGTTCCACTTTCTTTCTTGGTCTAAGATGAGGTATATAAGGACTCAAGAACTCATCGTTTGGACATAGAATATAGAATAGACTGCTGACTTACACAAAACACCAAACTTTCTGTTTCCAACTAAGACGTCTCATTCAACATGGATTCTCTGGTAAGACTTTCGCTGGTGAAGTAAAAGTTAATTTAAGAAACTCGGTTCTATAAACATATTTGTCCCTGTTTAGAGTATAAAAGATTATACAATGATATAGCGTGAAAAATAAGGCCGGATTATGTACAGATATGGAACTATTAAACATGAAAGTGTATATTTCTGTTCTGTTTACTGTTTGTTTACATCATGAAGTAATGGGATATAATTTTCTATGTGAAACGTTACCGTTACTTTTTAAGATAGCGCATATTTATTTAATAGTAAAATTGAATTGGGATAACTGGTCTTGATCTATGTCAGTTAACCATAGGGTTGATAATGTATTCTTATAGAAACGTTACTGTTCAATAAAAATGGCTGTGGAGAAAAATATGATTTCTGTACGAAAGGAGCTTTTAACGAAAAATAACATCTTTTAAATTAAGAAACAAATATACGGGTGATAAATCAAAATTACATTTTTTTTCACATAACATTATACGTAGATATAAATACCATAATCCTCATATCATAATAACGCACACACGTTTGGTCTCCCACCACCGTTCAGCGGTAAGTCTACAGGTTTAAGGCGCTAAAATCGGATTTCGATACCAGCGGGGAGCAGAGCACAGATAGCCCATTGTATTTAACAACAACCAAACTAACGAATACGTGTGTTTGTGTGTGTGAATGCAGACACTAAAAAAGTCAATTTTCGATATCTAGGCTTTGTTTCTTCAAATCTTGGAATAACTATTTGCTAGTCATTATTTGTTTTAAAATATTGTAATTGTAACTGAAATATTATATTGTAAAATATTTGACATACAATATCTTTATACATAACACTAAGCTGTTGTAGTTGTTGTATTATGTCTTGGTAAAATATGATAATCAGTGATAAATAAATCAAATAAAAATACTTACACACTGAATTTATAATTATTGATCGTTTCGTAATGTTTGTTCAATGTATAGAACAAAAAAGCTGGGTTTCAGACATATCACCTATGTTTTAAAATTTTAAATGATTCTATAGTATGGTATTAAGATAATATATATAAATGTCTGGTTTCAGTTTTTCTGCTTACAACAATTAAGTCAGGATTATTACACATTGTATTACTTCTATTTATATATACATATCAGATGTATCATAAGTAATAAAATGAAACATAAAGTTCAACTTAAAAGAGGGTTAAGATAAACATTAAGTTTTGAAACATTGAAATAGGAGGTTTAAAATCAAGAAAAGTTTTTCCATCTTTATTATGTTCTGCCTATCATATATGTATCAAATTCAATTATTTTTACTTATGTTAGAGTATTTCTAATAGTGCTTTTTATAGGCATTTTTTTTTCCTCTTTACAATAGTAAAAATAAAAATAATTTCAAAGGTGAGAATCAAAACAACATCATTAGAGAAGAAGTATACAATGAAGGTAAAGTACTTTAGCCTGAATGAAATTCTAAGATTGTACCAGAAGCACACACTTTTTGAATAGAAACGTATGATTGTTGCAGGATGAAAACTGAATCATTACAAGCTACGTATTTTACTTGTTTGATCAAAACTTTCTTAGGTTAAACGAAACGTTATCAATGGAAAGCGAAACGTTTTCAGCCACAGGTTTTGATATTTAGTTGATTATATTGTAGAATGACAGTCGAAACATCAAAATGTTCAAAACATTTTATACGTTTATCTACATATAACTCAAGGAATAAAAATTATTAGAAAAACTTCGAATTTGTGCTACATTTCTACCTTTAATACATAATACTTTAGTGCTGTAGTTGAAAGAATTTGATTATTTATTATGAGATAATTAATTCAAGTTATTCATGGTGGCAATGCGCTCCATCTTTCATTTCAAACTTAAGGTAATCTCCGTATTGAAAGGACTATATTTTTAAATCAATTACAGCTTCAAAACACATTTTACAACATGGATATTTTTTTATACTATATGAGCATTGAAAATTAATAATTGAATCAAAATTGTGTTATTCTTTTACCGTTACCATGTCTTTATTTTTTCTAGTTTATTTTTGTGGGGTTTCTACTTTATATACCAGCTTTGATAGATGGAGCTGGTCGTCAACAGAGTTTTGGACAGAATCAGCTGCCGTTTGGTCAGCAAAGCAATTATCAACAGCCAGGAAGTTTCGGATCTCAAGATAGTTTTGTAAGTCTTCTTTCTCTCTTTGTTCTTGAAGATTCGTATTGTAAGAAATAGGCTACGTCAGCCCAAAATATCAAAACGCATCGCACAGTTGAAGTCTGAATGTTGTTTTGTTGTATTACAATTCACAATTCGAATACTTCGTTTTGTCTATTTTACTTCCATATCCAGATACTAGTTTTTCACATCAATATAAAAGTATGTTTTGCCGATTGCAAGTAAAACTACAAATCATTGCTATTTAACCTAAATGTAAAAGTTGTTTCTGTAAAAAAAAGAAAAAAAAGAGAGTGAAGCACCGTAACCTCCCCCCTCCCTCCCTAGTGGTTCAGTGGTATGTAGACTTGCAACGCTAAAAACCGGGTATCGATATACTCGTGGTGGACACAGCACAGATAGCCACTTGTGATGCTTTGTGCTTAACTACAAAGAAACAAACATCCACCGTAGTTAGGTAAAGTTAAAAAGTGTCTCATAAACTTGCTCGTTTTGAGGTTATTAGCTAAAATATCAATTGCTGACATGAAATACGTATCTTAAAACACAATAAATATCAAAAGATATACTTTCCTGTTAAGATAATTCTCTATTTTGGTTTTATTATGCAATCGCGATGAACAACCAAATTAATTTTATACTTAATTTTGCTTGATGGTGATACTAGAAGGATTTTAGTATACTTTAGCTTGTCCTGGTCTATCCGTAACAATGTATGTTTTTACGTCTAATCTAAATCATCTTATGCCTAGACGGTACATAGGAGCCAGTGTTGAACAGCTTTTTCAATAGTGGTTAAGAATGGAACACAATCCACGTGGATGAGATGCCAATCCATTGCAGGACAATCTCTAGCTAGTCATTGGTACCAATTATAGAGTCAAATACAGTGAAATAATTGGGATAAAGTGTCTTGCTCAATGACATGATATGTTGTGGATAAACCGCCAACTCGCACCTTCCGACTAGGAGTCCAAAGAATAAGCCACTGGACCACACTGTCCCCATATGTTATACTCTTTTATTACGCCATATTTTTTTCACACAAAAAATCCCTCTTCATATATTGAATGGTTATTATCCCTACCACAAACTAATGATGCACTTGTAAAATAGTTTGAAGACAAAAAAAAAAAACTAACAGAAAACTCACGGGATTTGATAATTATTTAGTGATTGTCTTTTCCAAGCAGTGTTACATATTAATTTGTGACAAGCGTATATTATATTTCAAGCAAATATTACTTTGATATTAACAACTTATTAAATGTTAATGATTAAATATAGGAATCAAGGTGTCTATATAAACGTACTAAGTAACTAAAACGTTAACACTTAATGCAATATTCATTGTAAAAATTTAGAAAACTGCTGTTTTGGAAAATCTGTATTTTTTTGGTTAAACGTTATACTAGAAACTAAATAATAATTTAAATACCTTGTTTATAATTAGGACAATTTTATGTTAGTGGCCAAATCTCAACTTACTCAGTCTAGTAACTTTTAGATATAAAATTCAAACTTTCAGCATACTGAAATTCAGGATATTTTTTCATCACTCTTATAACAAACAAGCATAGTTTTCTCTTCGCTTTGATATACAACGTAATTCCATTACTGAAGCCTATTTTTAAAGATTAGTTCTTTAGGTACAAGAATTTAACGTTATTATAGCAAAATAATTTAGATCATAACTCTAATCAAACGCACGAGGCTTAGTTTAAAGTTATTTGAATTTAGACAATTTGTTCTAAATAGCATTTTCTGATCTTCATGTAGTTTGTTTAATCTTTTCAAACTTTTATGTGAATTTCTGATTAGGGTTCTCCTCAGCCTTTTGATTTTAACTACAATGTTAAGGATGAATTTGGCAATTCTCACTACCATCAAGAACAGGGGGATCAAAGCGGAAATGTGTTAGGTAGCTACGGATATACGAACGCTAACGGACTTTTCCGCTACGTAGAGTACAGTGCTGACTCGTCTGGATTCACCGCTAAAGTTCACAGTAACGAGCCAGGTGTTTATCCCGATAATCCTGCTGACGTTACTCTCAACGTAGAACAGCCTCCTGCAGGCCTCCAAGATCAGTACACACGTAGGACCTCTGGAGGTGGATATCAGAAACCGCAACAGTTACCTGATAGCACATATTCTGGTCAAGATTACGTACAGCGTCCAGTTGGATACCAGAAATCTGGAGTGAAACGTGCTGGATAAGTTTAACAGAGATGATAACGCTTATTATTCACTGCCAATTTATACATTACATGAAAATATCTTTCCTAAATAATTTCACTGGTTTATTTTTAAAGAAGCGAATAGTTTTTCTTTTTGTAGAAAATATTAATTACGATATTTCTTTATGTTGTTATGTCTTTATAAGTTGGAAAATGTATGGTAAAAAATAGATTTAAAGTCAAAGCTATGTCTTTTACCTTTAAGAAACGAAGACATTTCTTAGAAGTAGTGTCTATCGTATACAAAATTTGTGCCAGTAATAGAAGTGTGAAAATACTACTTTGCGTTTAGATAAAAATTCCAGAAAAAGAAATTTTGTTAGCTTATAATTAAACAAGTAGTTTTGATAGTAAAATTATACAAACATCATGCTGATAAATAAGTTGCTTCACAGTGTTTTTATTAAGATTTAAATGAAATAACAGATAAAAACCGATATTGCTTTGTTGAGGTTACCAGTGTTCTTCGTTTCAACAATTTGAGAAATCTGTTAGCCTCGAATATCTTATAACATTCTAATAAAAATGTTATTTCTGGGAAAATAAACTATGTATTTGTGGAACTTTTTAATATTCGTGTTTTCGCAAGTATACCCTAAGATTATTTATTATTATTTTCACGCGTCACACATAGTACACCTAAATGTATTTTAATATAAATACACCTTAACGAATCCTATTTTTTCTTTATATAACACGAATAACGTTGCGTTGAAATTTCTGCAAATTTGTTACATGTCAACTTTAAATTACAAACTTCTCTGTGCCACGAATTACATTTTTTTGTATCAATCGTATAAACTATATTGAAAAGCCATATATTTTTCAGTCTAACTAAAGCAACAGGAGAATAAACATACCGAGATCTCATGATATCTGAGAAACATTCTTCTAAATTAAAATTTTTGTGAAAGAGTGTCATGTAAATAGCAATTAATAATAATTATAAGCCTAAGCCACGTCGTATTTCCTATAGATAACAAAAGATGGCGCTACAATTAAGAAATGCCAAAGTAAATAAATAACACTTAAAAACCATTCACTGATATTAATATTCTAATTTGCATTAGTTAACTGAGTATATGTGATGTGAATAAAATATTAAAGCTAAAAATTCATCCAGAGAGCGACATTTTGCTATCTCACTGGATAAATAATTAACACACTCTTTGTAACCCTGTCCAAAGTTCAGGTTATTTTTCTTGGTGTCCGGCGTTGCCTAGTTGTTAGCATGCTGAGCTTCGTATCCGAGTATAGGAAAGTTGAGTCGCAATGCCACAGAACACGATTTCTGGATACGTTACAAAAGTGAAGTAAATATCATTTCATTGTTTATTTTTACTAAACGTTTTGATCAATATAATATTGTATTCTAAATTAATAATACTCGTTTGTCATAACACAAAATATTGGAAGAACAACACACTTATAGTCTTTATAATGTAACCAAGTACTTCAGCTTTTGGGAAAAATATGAGATAAATTTACCATTGAACAAACCAATAAACGTATTTTAATTTTTGTGCGTTTATATTTTGGATACAATAAAATATAAAAATATTTTTTTGTTATAGAAACGTTCCACAACACATTTTTAAAGAGGATGTAAACAGAGAAAAGGTACTGAAAACAATCACTTAGGCAACTCATTCTAATAAATTTCCACCTAGTGGCTCAGCGATACGTATGCATGCTTACGACACTAAAATTCTGGTTTCGATACCAGTGGTGGGTGGAGTACAGATAACCCATTGCGTAACTTTGCGTTTAACAACAAACAAACCATTCTAATAAAATATTGAAATCACCCACCGTCTGGTGTAAAAATAAGTAATCTGTAAATCTTTGAGTACTCAATAACATTTTAAAATCTTTCAACTAAAGTAATAATGATAAAGGCCCAGCATGGCCAGGTGGTTAGGGCGCTCGACTCCCAATCTGAGAGTCGCGCGTTCGAATCCCCGTCCCATCAAAACATGCTCGTCCCTTTTAGCCGTGGGGGCGTTATAATGTGATGGTCAATCCCACTATTCGTTGGTAAAAGAGTAGCCCAAGAGTTGGCGGTGGATGGTGATGACTAGCTGCCTTCCCTCTAGTCTTACACTGCTAAATTAGGGACGGCTAGCGCAGACGGCTAAATTAGGGACGGCTTCCCTCGTGTAGCTTTGCGCGAAATTCCAAAACAAAACAAACAATAATGATAAAACTTTAAGTGACGAAAAGAAGTTCGTAATAATATTTCCACTTTTGAAGACATATCCATATTGTGATTGTACCTTTTTACAAGTTTGCACAAACAAATGATAAGTATTAAACAAACATTTTCAAATATTTTTCTTACAATAATTTTATTCTCCCGTTTTTCCTATTACTCAGACAAAGACTGTACCGGCTTTACTTCGGTATGGATTTAAGATCAGCAATTTTCTGAAAAACATGATCAGCTAGTAAACACTGCCACCTCAATTCTAGCCGAATAATAAAATTTGACCGTTACTGTTTTAACGCACCCAAAGTGCAAAGCGTGATTTTTTATTTATTTTTTGGTGGTCACAGAATGTGAACAATATAATTTGAGCATCACAATAGGTAACGTTAATCATTGAGCCGCACTCGGTCCAAGGGAGTTTGACGAAAAAATAAGTTTCCTGAATAATTATAAAACATTAACGTAAGATATTCACTGGAAATAATTAACAGTTTGTTTGAAGTTTAGCCCAAAGCTACATAATGCGCTATCTGTGCTCTGCCCACCACGGGTATCAAAACCCGGATTCTAGCGTTGTAAGTTCGCACACATACCGCTCTGCCACTAGGGAACATAATTAACAGCTAAGTTAGCATTTTCTACAAATTCCCACTACCACCTAATGTTATCTCAATGTTTTTATATTCTAGAAACTCAAAAGCAATATTCTGAGCTTCAAAACTAAATATATTATATACTGTCCACTTTAGAGAAAGGAAATATTATCTTATTATCTCTTTGCAAATATTTCTGTTTTTGTTTTAGAGTTGATTATCAATCGAGAATTCAAAAAGTAGTGAAACGGTATATTTGGAAAACTGGGGGTTTTATGTTAAAGGTGCCAAACTTAGCACAGTAGTAGTTTTGGGTTTTTAGATATAGAGACGTATATTGGGAGATTTGGGCACGCGAGGATTGATTCAATATTTTGCAAGGTATTACAGTGTTTATCTTGTTTTATGTGATAGAAATGCGTAGAATTTGACGTACTTATACATTTTATAAGTAATTACACCACAAGTTAGATCATTTGCACATCCACCGATAACATAAACGTTCTCATATGAAGCATAAAAATATACATTTTCTATAATGCAGAAATAGAGATATTTTGTTACAGGTGTATCAAACTTAATATTAGTGGTAAACGGAATGAAAAATTCATTTATTATTTTTATAATTATAAATAATTAACATTTTCGCATGCGCTCACCATTATAACATGCTTGCAGTCATTACAGAACGACCTTTACATATATATACACATTCCATATGTTAGGGAAAGGGAGTTATTCCGATGCATAGTGTGCCTCTATCAAGATATCAATCACATACGCATGCGCGAAACAGAACACTTGGAAGTACTTCGAAGACATTCCATATATCTGACTTATCCTTGTTGTATCAAGGCACGTGATTTCATAAACTTGACAAAATCTGAAGTTATTCACGTGCATCATATTGTTGTATATCCAGCCTTATCACAGTAAGGTACATAAAAGTGCACACTTTACACACTTGCAACATCAAATACAACCTATTTTGCATCTAAATTTGATTAATTAATGTGCAATCAGCGAAATTATCAATATTATATTATGTCACATGACTAATATGATTAATATTCTCATTTCCAACCTCTTTTTTGATTGGGTAGGTTTGAGTAAAGACATTAACCTTGCTCCCACACCATAATATGCAGCATAAAAGATATGTTTAACTAATGTGTCTTTTGAGGGTGGTAACCTTTCCAGCAATGTCTCCCCCCTTTTTTTTAAAGTTCCTTCCGAGATACGCTCACATTCTATCATACATGACAACAAGCGAATACATTCCTCTGACATATTATCATGGGCCTGTGACTGTTCTTGAAATGACAGACCAGAAACATCGTTTCACTGGCTTGAACGTAGCACATTTGTACTGTATTTGCTGTCATTTCTTTGCCAGAAGTGGACGATGTAATGGCATGTTGATACAGAAAGTAAAAATATATCCTTCTTGGTGTCATCTACACGAATGAGTTCCTACCAGTTGCTTGGCAAATACACCGTAAAATAAATATCTACGATAAGTTCCTGTACCAAGTTTTATCCTTGTCCTTGCTTTCAACCTATCTGGCAAGTTATCATTTAATTAGAGGTTTTTATTAAATGTAAAATCTCTCTGTACTTTACAGGTGTATAATTTTGATCACTAACCTATCAACATAGACTATAAAACCACTGTAGTAAAAGACACATTGCAAATCAATGGTCACTTTACTTACAGATATTTCTTTCACACATACTTCTAAAGTTATGCATTACAGATTCAAAAATCAGAGGTATGTAAATAACATATGAGATGTATCTTTTGTTTGTTATATTCCAGACCAACTAACGAATTCTAGTATTGACGATAGACCTCTTGGGTAGTAACATGTGGGAGACAAAAGATTTCTCTGAAAGGCTGTTTATATATCATTTTAAAATACTATACTGTATATACATAAATAGAATTCAAGACATTTTTTTTGTGTTTTATCATTCAGCCCAACGGAAGAGTTCCAGTATCGACGAACGGCCTCTTGGACAGTGACAGTTTACGTGCTTTTTTTTTAAACAAACTTTAGGGATGTTGATTTCTGATGCTTCGCCAGCTTTTGGCGTTTAAGTTATAGCTATAATAAAAGATGCTTTGAAATTGAATGGTACGATGTATAACATTTTCAGAAAATGTTCCTGAAAGCAAACGCAACTTTTCAGATAATGTGTTCCCATCATTTCAAAAGGTGCCTTGACTTATTAAACTTTCTAACTATACCGAGTAAGACTTTTGAAAAAATTACATCTTTTCGTTAGGTTTTCTTGAATGTTATATTTATTTTTACAACGTTTTGATCGCTGGTAGGATCGTTATCAAGTACAAACAAAAGTATAGGCTAAAGCCTATCTATTAACAAAGAAAACGCAAAACATAAGTTATCTTTTAGTTATGCTTGTCCAAACTCGTTTATTCATACCAGGCTTCTGAGCCTATCTTTCTTCCCAAACGTCCATCGTTTGTGTATTCCTGGCTGATACTGATCTTATCCTACATTTTTTATAACTTACTCCTTGGCATCAAAACAACCTATCAATACCACCTTCTAAAAGAGACATCATCAACTCGACCAGACTACAATGTCTCACATCATTCCAGGTAAACCAGCTAAGCCTAACTATATCACACATCGTCATGATTCTTATTGAAAAGGTCCTTCTATGCTACGTTGAAACATTTAATAACGAATAAATTTCTCTTCAAACAATAAAACAAAAGCTGAAAATCAAA